TCTTGATAATCTTTTCAAAGATATTTTGTATCATAATATGACAAGTAAACGAGGTTGACACGTGTATATTCTCTTTCTTTTAAGTTTAAAAAAAACCATTTACTTTCACCTTATTAGAAAAGTCTTAGTGGATAGACTTTCTTAAAAAAGAACGCACGCATCAACCTGGCTACTAAATGCAATTACTTTTCTATTGAAAGAAAGGTAAGAACTATAGAATGCTTACACTTTTCTAAAAAAGTGTTCTTTTATCAACGTTCAATCTTCTAATAGTAATCATTATGATCAACTTTTGTTTGGAATATATCAAAGTAAATTATAGAATGAATAATAATTATTATTGATCTGTCATAAACACATTTAAGACGTAGAACAGCTGTTCATCGACATGAACATATCGTCATTCTAAGAAAAATGAAATAAACCATACAAATACTATGCTTTCTTCGAAAGATTCTATTACATTAATTACGTACGTATTGACTTCTTATATTGACATAAAGGATTAGTGCAAAGTTGAAGAAAGCATTTGAGTCGTATAAATGAGATTGAAAGGTAAATAGTAGGATTTCCTACTAATGAAATATCGATGATAATTTTTTTACGTTTATGCACTATCTATGTTACTTCAATGAGTGTCTCTAAAGAAGAAGATACAGTGTTAATTAAAAGTAATATTTATATAATAAAGAAGATAATCGTTTTATAAGGTTTGTTCTCAAACACAAGAACAAGGTATTCTAAAATGAGATAATTCAGACTTGAGAACCTAGAGTGTCCTATTTGTTCAAATTGATAATATATTTTAAAAATCTTTACAATGTCGAAACATTATAGTAAAAAAATGTTTTACTGCTAGTAGTTTTACATAAGTAATACAGTTGATTGATTATTAATCATGATTAAATGCTTGAAAATATTTTTTTTTCAGAAAAGATTATTAGCTGTAGGAAGGATTCAATAAATAATATAATTGAAAGATGAAAGTTCGAGAGAAAAATTTCAAATTTATTTTCTTTACTATTTTTATTAATCTTGGTATTAATATATACTGACCTGCTAGAACGTAATATAATGAAGTTTTGTCCACAATATTGTTAATCTTTCTCAGTAACTAGAGCACTTGTCATACTAAATAGTTTATTGAAATAACTAATATCTAATAGTAAATTCACCTTAGATATTTTGTTATATCTTTCTAATCATCAATGTAAAAGTCTGGAAATAAAAATAATATTAATATTTCAACATTTTTTCATATAATTTCAGATCAACTAAATTAAAATGTCAAATAACACACATGTATCGCTGCTTTTTCATCGACTCAATATTTTCACCTTTCAGACACAAATCATCGATATTTTATGTTATATCTTAGTTATTCTGGGATTTATTGGAAATATATTAGGACTTTTTGTCTTTTGGTCATCTCGTCGAACTTGGCAAGTGTCATCTGCCTATGTTTATTTAGCTACTTCTTGTTCAATAACAAATCTTCTATGTGTTATTCGATATGTTTCTCTTCTTCATTCAAGATTTCGAAATATTTTATATGAATTAGTTGGACAGATATGGTGGGCTTGCAAAGTTTATGAATTTGCATTTTCTTTTCGAGTTATTTCATCATGGATAACATTATTCTGGATGTTCGAACGATTAATGTGTGTTTCAAAGAAATTACGAGCATGCTTCAATAAATGTAATTCATATCAATTGAAATTTATTATTCCAATTCTACTCATTCTAACCATTCTCAGTTGTGTTATTGGACCACCTGTTTATATGTTTGAACCACAAATACTTGAGTATGTCAATATAAAATATTTTATGTAATTAGAAAGTTTCTAAAATCAAAATCAAATGATATTTCTTTTACTAAAGAGAGTAATAAAATAACTCGTAGTGAATCGAAAATTTTTAATAGATTACATGAAATATTGAAAATACAAAGGAAAAAAAATCTATTCTTTAATTTACTTATTATTTTAGTAAAGAGATAATGGTTTTAACAACGAACATAAATAGAACATATTGTGATCTAAGCTCCAAAGCATCTATGAAATGGAAAAAATATTTTCACGAAATTCATATTGGTCTAAATCACTTCACAATACGTTGTTTGTTCTCTGAATTAATTCCAGCAGGAGCAATTATTCTATTTAATAGTTATATAATCTATCATGTTGTTCGAATATCTCGACGTTTACATCAAACAAATGCTCGTCAACCACGTAAAGAACAATGGCGAACAAAATTATGGATGAATATTGTTCTAGTTCTTCATTCTCTCCTTTTTCTTTCATCACTTTTAGCACATATTGTTGGACATTTTATCCCCATCGAAGCACATGAAGCATGGTGGGTTTTATTAGCAATTTTATTTAATTGTTCTTTAAACTTTTACGTATATTGTTTATCGGGTAAAGCATTTCGAAATGAAATCTATTTGTTTATTCAACGATTTAAAAGACGATTTTTTCATAGACAACATATTCACCAACATCAAAGACAACAATGTCGTCGAAGTTGGAATCTAAGTTAAGATTGAACAATTTTCAGATCATTATTCAATTTAAAACACATCCTTTCAATGATTTGAATGAACATTTATCTATATGATTTTATCATTTAAAATGAATAATAAAAAAAAAGTTTCTGTCGAAATTTAGTTTGTTGTTTTTTTTTTTTTAATTCTATGAAAGAAAGTTTTCATGTTTCACTACTGATTAATGTAAATTTCACTCATATGAATACAATATATCGAACATGTAAAGAATATATTCAAGGATGAGAGTCTTGTTTTCATATTTTATCTTTTTATTGAAGATATAATACAGAATCAATGTTTGTATAACTAAATAGAGAAATTCTGATTGTATCAAAATCTTTTTCAGATGATTTTTAGTAATAAATTACTTTGAATGAAATGAAATTAATTTATATTAGATTTCTTTCTATTCCAGTAACTTGATTTTTCACAGTTTTCAACATACACAACTCGAATTCTTACGAGTCATCGATAAATCCAAATTTTTTACTGTTTAGTTATATTTATAGATCCTTTATTTCAATTAGATTTATTTGTGATACATAAAGAGTGCAAAATAAGTTTTAGTCCTCTTGTACAATACTCTTTTCTCATATATTTCTATATCCACCGAGATCGATATTTACATTACATAGAGATTAGACGTGGAGATTCATGACAAAATCGCTCTCATAGGGATTGAGTGAGTTGGTGAATAACTACCTTTTTCTTAAATCATGTTACAGAGTTTTTTTTTGAATAAAAGACATGGGCGTTTTTAGATTTTTGAATGTTTCTAAGTAGATCAATAAATTTACCTGTGAAGGCGACGGTGAGTAAGTAAAGATAATCCTCTCTTCGCCCTCATTCTCACCCTCAAGATAGTTTGAGATAGTGATTTTCTTTCAATTCTCAAGAGATTAATAGTATCAAGTGAGGATAACGATGATCGTGAAGAAACGACATCTTTCTCAACAGAACTGATATATAGTTATCAAATCGGTGTATCAAGTCCAAAAACGCGTCTGTGTTGTTCAGCTCGATTTGTCCGCTCGTCTGGTGTATTATTTGAATGTAACCATTGAGATTCAAGTCCGAGTATTGGCATAGAATGTAGTCTCAGGTGTCTCAAGCAATCAATTGTACTAGGTTTTTAATTCTTACTGTTTTATCAATCATGGAAATAGTTCTCTCTAGTACAGTTGGATGAGTTCTGTCAGCTGGTACAACTCAAAAAAAAACGGAGAAAAACATGCTAGAGACCATAACAAACTATGAGCATGATATCAACATTTTTCGGCATAAAGCTGTTTCATGCTGCTTGGAAAGAGAGTGGATGTGAAGGTTTTGGAAAAGGTCTTCTTTTTACTCATCCATCCTCGAGCTAACTTAGATGATGTCAAATAAAACTGAGAGTTAATGTAATGTTTGTCATTATAATATCGAACGTTACTAAAACATATAATTTCATGCACTTTTATCAAGTTTTATTCATTGAATCTTCGACAGTGTCGGTGCTGTTCGTCTCATTGATCGTAAAATGTCGGAAAAAAAAGAATATCGACGTAGAAAATGGTTGAAATGTGTTTTAGAAAATTCTGACTAGCGAAGGGCATGCTTTGTTATATGAGTTAGTGTTAATACTCTAACAAAGACCAAACATGGACATTGAATTGATTTACTTTGGCTTATTTCGGTTTTGTTTTTCAGCCTGCATTAAATTGAGTATACATATATTAATCATCCAAATTTTTATAAATTCTTGCTGAATATCCATTAAGTGTAAATTTTCAATATTTGATAGTTGTTATTGCTGTTTTATTCAAATTAAAAACATATTCACTTACTATGAGTAAAGGTTTTTCTTTTTTATGAACGTATAAATGAAATAACTAACGATTTTGCTTCAGTTAAATCTGCTGAAGATGGAACAGTTGCAGTCATAACAATATTTAGAATTATAAGAAAAGTAACAATGAACTATAAGTGTTGAGAGTCATCATTTATTGGAAGCATCACTTTTTTCGATATTTTTTCCTTCGACATTTTTCGAGCACATCGTTCTGCTTCTAATCCACACCCGCACTTTGAAAAAACTCTTCAAGAGTAGAACAAAACATTTATTTATATTCTATCAATTGGTGTGGATGTGTATGTCTCCTGCTTACCTATCTTCACACACCGACAAATGAACGGATAAGTCTAAAAACTCGATCTTGATATTTCAGGATAACTTTGTTATGTTTTAGTTCTAATGAGAATTTCTCTTTTATTTTTCTTTCAGTATTCTTGTTGAAAGTCTGTCAAATAAAATTAGACTAATAAAGAAAATCTTCGATATTGTTTAGAGAAAGCAAGTCACGCACAAAGAATTTATTTATTTTTTTTGATCAATGAGACAATAACTAAGATAAAATATTTTTCAATACAATACAACATTAAATTTAAATGTTTATTAGTTTTGAATTTTGTATTATTGTACTTTCTTATTTGCCATGTACATACAAAACTAAAAAAATAGAAAGAAAATAATAACACTGAATTAATTAACATTTAATTTTTTTTTTTTTTTGTTTCAAAGTTTTTACTTCATCAAATAGAATATAACCACCATCATTTGAATCAATAGCATCAAATTCTTGTTTTAAACTATTTTCATCCGAATCATCTTCACCTAATAATTGAAAACCTTTTTTGAATTCATTAAAACCAATACGATGATCATCATTTGTATCTAATTCTTCAAATATTTTGCTTATTTCATCATATTGTTTAAGTAATTGAACAATTTTTTCAAATTCTTTTAATTCAACAAAACCATTCTAAGAAAAAGTAAAAATTAAAAATCTATCTAATAAATTTTATTTTATTTTTTCTTATCATACACCACTTGTATCAGCTGCTTTATATGCTCGTAGAATTGCTTTCTTATTAGTACCA